CAGCAACTCACCCGGTGCAACTCACCCTCTAACCCAGTGCAACCCCTCTTCTAACCCCAACACCCCTTCTGCAACCCCCTCTGTGCAACTCACCACCCAAACTCTAAACCCAGTGCAACACCCTCTTCTAACCCGGTGCAACTCACCCTCTTCTAACCCAGTGCAACTCACCCTCTTCTAACCCAGTGCAACTCACCCTCTTCTAACCCAGTGCAACTCACCCTCTTCTAACCCAGTGCAACTCACCCTCTTCTAACCAGTGTGCAACTCTTCTAACCCGGTGCAACTCACCTCTCTAAACACCAACCCTCTTCTAGTGCAACTTGTGCAACACCCTCTTCTAACCCGGTGCAACTCACCCTCTTCTAACCCAGTGCAACTCACCCTCTTCTAACCCGGTGCAACTCACCCTCTTCTAACCCAGTGCAACTTACCCTCTTCTAACCAACTCACCCTCTTCTAACCCGGTGCAACTCACCCTCTTCTAACCCAGTGCAACTCACCCTCTTCTAACCCAGTGCAACTTACCCTCTTCTAACCCAGTGCAACTCACCCTCTTCTAACCCGGTTCTGCAAACTCACCCTCTTCTAACCCAGTGCAACTCACCCTCTTCTAACCCAGTGCAACTTACCCTCACTCACATCTTCTAACCCAGTGCAACTCACCCTCTTCTAACCCAGTGCAACTCACCCTCTTCTAACCCAGTGCAACTCACCCTCTTCTAACCCGGTGCAACTCACCCTCTTCTAACCCAGTGCAACTCACCCTCTTCTAACCCAGTTGCAACACCCTCTTTCTAACCCGGTGCAACTCACCCTCTTCTAATCCCAGTGCAACTCACCCTCTTCTAACCCGGTGGCAACTCACCCTCTTCTAACCCAGTGCAACTTACCCTCTTCAAACCCGTCAACTCACCTCTTCTAACCGGGCAACTCACACCTCTTCTAACCCAGTGCAACTCACCCTCTTCTAACCCGGTGCAACTTACCCTCTTCTAACCCAGTGCAACACCCTCTTCTAACCCGGTGCAACTCACCCTCTTCTAACCCAGTGCAACTCACCCTCTTCTAACCCGGTGCAACTATCTTCTAACCCAGTGCAACACCCTCTTCTAACCCGGTGCAACTCACCCTCTTCTAACCCAGTGCAAACCCCTCTTCTAACCCGGTCAACTTTACCCTCTTTCTAACCCAGTGCAACACCCTCTTCTAACCCGCGTGCAACTCACACCTCTTCTAACCCAGTGGCAACTCACCCTCTTCTAAACCTGCAGCCAGTGCAACTCACCCTCTTCTAACCCAGTGCAACTTCCCTCTTCTAACCCAGTGCAACTTACCCCTCTTCTAAACCCGGTGCAACTACCCTCTTCTAAACCAGTGCAACTCACCCTCTTCTAACCCAGTGCAACTCACCCTCTTGTGGTGCAACTTACCCTCTTCTAACCCAGTGCGACTCACCCTCTCCTGATTCCTAACCCTTCCCTATCCCTCGCGCAGTCCTAGACGGTCCGTCGGGGTCGCTTGTGGTCACGTCCGCCACGTACTACACGAACAGCCAGAACTGCGCCTGGCGAGTCGTCGTGGCCGCGGGCTTCCGTGTCCAGCTGACTTGGGACTCGTTCTCGCTGGAATCCTGCTGCGACTCGGCCTTCGTGGCGGACCCCTGCGACGGCGGGACCGCGTACACGTGGTAAGCCAAGGCACCTCCGAGTACAATACATGTAGGTGGTTTTCATGCCACATGCATAAACAGCAGCCGGAGAGTAGCGCTCCCCACATCTGTCCCTGGTTGAACAAAGGTTGCGCATTCCAGTCGAAGGCCTCCTGAGTCTATCACAAGAAGGCGGCTGCTGGGACAGGTGTGAAGGAGCTACCATCCGGTCTTCAGCATATTCTTTCCATGGATAAAAGATCCTTAGAGCAGTGGACTCGTCCCTGCTTATGGAAAGGTCTAAGTAGCCTGGGAACCGATCGAGCAGACAACTTTTACATATGCACTGGTCATGAATGATTTTGTCCACACACCCAACAATATAAGGATAAATAGAGATAGAGAGGGAATAGGATCTCCATCAGGCACAATACTGGCTCTTGTATCTTATTTATTGTATTAAACATTATCTTCGATCTTGTTCGTCTTTGTTGCAGCAGACAGATCATCATCCGTGGCATTTCTTTGCAGGACGAAACACACAGGCAGCTCGATCCCGCCGTCCACAACCTCGAAGGGAAACGAGATGGTTATCAAGTTTCAGTCAGATGGCTCCGTCATATACCCAGGCTTCACTCTCCAATACGTAGCCGTGTAATGAAGCTCCGAGCTGCGGTTTCGAACGCATGCTTCGCTCTAGGGGGAGAATTTCAGGAGAATTTTATAAAGAGAACGTAATTGGCCTCGGAATAAGTTTGTAAAAAATGTACTTGATTGACATATATAGATGATATCGACAGCTGGTTAGTTATGGTAGAGTAAACCTTTTTTTTGAAGTTATATTGTGTAGAGAAAATGATATGGGAAATATTTGACGATATTTACCTGAATAAAAGTTAACAATGAACAGTGGACTCGCAGAACAGAAAGGATGTTCATAATAAAGATAATGATACTATGGAACTAATGAAATGTATTGTTGCAATCATGACAACTGTATCTATGTGTTCCTTCTCTTCCCAAAATCTTCCTCATGATGATGATAATAATGATAATAAGGATAATTATAATAATGGTAATTATGATAATGAAAATAATTATAACAATAATGACAATGATGATGGCAGTGATAATAGTAATAATAACAATGAACAATAGTAATTATAACATTGAATTAGAAATAATGATAATGCTGATTATAACAAAAATAATGATATAATAATGATGATGAAAATGTAATAACAATGATAATGATAATGGGCATGATAATAACATTGGTGATGATTATAAGAATGATTATTTAATAAATAGATTATGATAATAATATAATTATAATGATGGTAATGACAATAATAATGATAATAAAAGTATAACATTAACAAAATACCAAAAATACAAATACAGCGACGGGTTAAGGATGATTATAATGATGACAATGATAAAAGTAATAGTAATGATTTTATATGTACAACCAACAACAAAACCGGATTTTCAAAAGAGCCTCAAGTTAAGGCGCGTTGGAAGCCTCAACCGTTCTGCTGTATTTCCCTTGTATAAGAGCGAAGAGTTGATTTCTCGCCCGCCATAAACCGCTGAAGGCTGCTCTCAGTCTTTTTTTAACTCACTTTCTCTCTCGCTCGCTCTCTCTCAGTCTCTCTCGATCGCTTTCTCTCTCTCTCTCTCCCTTTTGTTATCATCATCCCCTGCCTAACCTAAGGCGCCTTAACTCGCACCAACATGGCGGGTCCCTTGTTCTGTGTACGGCTATGTCAGATCGCTCGGCCGTAAGTTAAGGCGCCTTCAGGAGATACGGCGCCTTCAGGAGATACGGCGCCTTCAGGAAAAAAGGCGCCTTAACGCGTTTGAGAATCAGGCTCCAGGCTCGGAGAGATCGTGCCTTTCTTGCCCTGAAAGGAGGCCCATGTTCAAACAACCGGGACATAGTTAGGATGGTTCGAGTGTGAGGAGGAAGGAAATTACGGAAATCAGGCAAAGAGATATATATGGAGAGAGAGAGAGAGAGAAAGAGAGAGAGAGTGAGAGAGAGGGAGGGAGAGGGAGGAGAGAGGAGAGAGTGGAAGAGAGTGAGTGAGTGAGTGAGTGAGTGAGTGAGTGTGAGTGAGTGAGTGAGTGAGTGAGTGAGTGAGTGAGTGAGTGAGTGAGTGAGTGAGTGAGTGAGTGAGTGAGAGAGAGAGAGGAGAGAGAGGAGAAGAGAGAGAGAGAGAGAGAGAGCTTTTATTCCTATTTACTTGTTGATTTGATGAATATAGTGGATCTGCCTTGAGAAATGAGTTATCGTATATTATTTCGAATATAATTATCATGAAATCTTATTCACATAGTTTTATTTTAATTCCTTATCATATTTTCTAAATAAAAATCCTTATACATTACTGGAGCTATTCATATTAATATTCGTTAAACGGAAATATTCTGCGGTTGCATTATATATGGCTCTATATATAAGCATAAGACTGTGTATGTGTGTGTGTGTGTGCATGTAAGAATTATTTGGAGTAGAGAGACTCCTACTGGACTAGTGGGTAGAAAATGATAATGGTACACCACAACTCACTATTTGTAGAAAGAGTACAGCACACAATAATGTAGATTGGGATGGTGATTGAACAGTAAGAAAATTCAAAGATTATCCATCCCTCATTTACCAATGCTGCCTCTAATGTCAATTGTCTTACGTCTTGGTGACTCTTTTTGATCCCAGAAATAAACGTTATACCTTTCAGTATAATCTTATGAAATTTAAAATATCCTTTAGATACTCCTTAATGTCCCTTTAAACAATTTGCAAGTCATCGTGTTGCACTGTTGATCCTGGTTCCATTTCATTTAAATTTTATATAATTCTTTTTTTGGAACTTGCGTTACACGTTGGAAGCTTTTTCTATGTGTGTAGGAAACAAACACGAAAAGAAAAAAAAAATTATATCGTCTCAGCCAGGAATCGAACTCGGTCTTCCGGTTTTGAAGACCGGAGTGCTAACCATTACACTACAGAGACTTCGTTGATAGAAAAAGTTCATTATGGAGTTTAATTGTTCGCAAACAGTGATGCACGGACATGTTCATGAAGCATCTCATATTTCAAATGTTGTCGTAAGGTTTTTATGTTATGCAGTTGGTCTTACGTAGATCAGCTGTTCACACCTTTCCTTCATTGTCGGGAAAAAAAACTTAATTGCCATTAGTATTGTTAATAACATAATGATAAGGAAGGCAACTCAACGATAAAAGCAACAGAATTAATTTAAAACGTTCGGCGGGTTATGAATATATTTCTATACACTCAGTTTTTATGCGTCCGTGACTGTTTCATGTAAAGCCTCATCTATATTAAAGGGGGACCTTCTGGTGATTTTTCGGCAATTTTCGCCCCTCTTGCCGAAATTGACTTTAATGCATTTTCAAGGAGTTTCTAGGCCCCCGGTTCTCCCCTGAAGATTTCAAGGCCCGACCGCTATTTTTTTAGGTGGTAGCAGCGATTTTCGATGTCGACTGAAATATTATTTTTTTGATGTTACCTTAGAAAATCGGCAATTGTGACGCAATGATTAAAGATAATAATAATGAATAAATATATATCAAATTTCACATAAGATGAGACCAACCTTCTTTTTTTTTAAATCCGGCAAGCGTCCAAAAAACGACAATGAAGAAATTTTCCATACAAATAACTAAACATATGTTATTCATATGGTGTATTTTCTTTTCTTTATGTTTTCATCATACATAGTTTGATCTATGAGCAAAATATTTTGAAAATGCAAACCTCCCCCCCCTCATAGGGGGTAGTTTTGCCAAATGTTCCGGATCACCACCAAAATTTTATGGAATATTAATTAGGCTAAGACAAACCTCAGGTAAATTTTTTATTCCTGGATCCAAACCATGGTCCGAATCACCACCAAACTGCAATAAGCGTCTAAGTTAGGTTAAAACTCACCTTTGGTTAAGATCTCGTTAAAATGTGTTCATAACTTTTACAAAGATTAGAAAACACAAACAAACAAAAAACAACAAATAAACAACAAACAAACAAAGAAACAAACGGAAGTAACAATATAGATAAACAAAAGGTCATAGGGTACACGAAAATGATCTATATGTGCTCATATACCTTATGTACATACTTTCACATCGCCATGTAATTGTTTTTCGTCTTTCCACGGGGTCTGAGAGTGAAATTTGGCTACGTGACCCCGTAGAGTTATTCCGCAGATTTAAAAAGACGATTTTCATGGTCCAGGACGGCCCGGCCGCGCGGGGAAAAGTATGCGTTTGGTACCCGTCCGACTGGAGAAAAGTTATTCTTTCGACAAATATTATACGCTGTAAAACCCCATTAGAGCATCAATAATAGGTAAATGATAGATAATTATATCAAATACAAGTATTCTGTACAAGCGACAATCGTTCGTTTTCCATCATTCGCGTCTAATTCCCTTGCAGTAGTTGCTGTAGTATTTTTTTGGTTTTGTTGTGGTTTGTTTTGTTTTCAGGACAAAATGTATGTAGACTATATGACAGCATTTCCATTGATGATATTGATTTTGATAAAAAATAATAGTCCTTTGTGACCTCTCTCTTTCTCTCTCTCTATAGAAATATATGTATATCTCATTCTCTCGGTTTCTTCATCTGTTTCTCTATCTCTCTTTCTCTGTCTAACGCCTCTCTCTCTCCGGGGGCCCGCTCCTCTCTCTCTCTCTCTCTCTCTCTTTTTCTACATCTCTCTCTCTCTCTCTCTACCTCTCCCTCTTTGCTTACGGTAAATATGATAAGGTGTTGAAGAAGAAACTTATATGGACTAGATTTTATTGGTTCCGTTGGGAATAGATACTGTGTTCAATCTTATTTCCAATATCATTGTCCTTTTCAGCAAAATGAATCTGTGTCTGAGAGCGTGTCTCTCTATTCACATACCTGAACACATTTAAAATTCGTAATATCTGTATTAGTCATTGAGAATTCTACTCGTGTAGAAATAAAACAATGTTATTTGTAAGCCTACATCTCATATTCATAAGATACTATTTTTTTTCAAAAGATAATAATTTACATAATAACAATCTTTACATAACAATCATGATGATAATGATATTTGTTATTTTCATTATCAACAAAAAATATATATAATGATAGTAATAATATTGACAATGATATTAATGATGGTAATAGTTAAAATATATAAAATAATGAAAATAATAACGGTAATGATAACTGCAATAATGACATATTCTAAAAATGATGATAAAAGTAGGAACAATGAACAAATGCCACCAATGATAAGAATAGTATAACAATGATAATGATTTTGTTACCGATAAGAAAAGGATAATGTTGATAATAACTATGATAGTAATAATAAGAAAGAGGATTGATCATGATAAGAAATATGAAAAATAGTAAAAGAAAATCTAGCAAAGATTTTAGAATATGTAATTGTGTTGTGCAATCTCTCTCTCTCTCTCTCTCTCTCTCTCTCTCTCTCTCTCTCTCTCTCTCTCTCTCTCTCTCTCTCTCTCTCTCTCTCTCTCTGTCTATAATTATAGTAATAACAATAGCAGTAATAATTACTTAAAAAGTAATAACAATAATATCAAGAGATGTTAATAAAATCAGTCTTAAAGAGGTTAGAGCAATATATAACTAATATATATTATATATTGATAATATTATATATTAACAATAACAATATATAAAAATAAAACATCTGTTGTCTCCGCCGGGACTCGAACCTGGTACTCCCACTTCAGAGGCGGCTGCGTTAACCGTTACACCACAGAGGCTTGGAAAAAAGTAGAAGAATAAATACATACAGAAGGATTATA